AAAAAAAAATCACTAACAAGAGAGTATGGACATAAAGTATTAAGCTAAGAATAAAAAGAACCGTCAAATTAGTCAGATGACAAAGTGGTTGGAAAACCTGTTTGAAGTCAAAATTCTTAAGAGTTATGCTTTAACGAGCATTGATGTGAAGATCAAACCAAGGAATTCAAAAGAAACCAAACATATGTTGCACTTTATATCGAAAATCAATGTAATTGAGAAAAATACTGGGTTTATAAACTCACCAAATACTGCAAGAACATGTCTGTTCCTTGCTGTGAACATTCACCTCCTTCTCCCACATTGAAGGGATCACGAACGATGATCTTCGAGAAACTCTGCACCTCCACTCCGTACGATCTCCAGTCAACAACAACGTACTTTAGCTTGGGCATTTTCGGAAATCAAAACTGAACAGAACTCAGCTGAACAGGAGCAGACTTTGAGTGAAATGCACGCCAAGAACAATCACGGTAAAACACGTGGAGATAATGAATGTCAAAGCATGAATAGGCGCTTCCAAATTCAAATCTAGCGGAACTTTTGCTTTGATCATATCAAAAAGCTGCGGTCACTTCAAAGTCAGCCATAAATATCACATCCTGGCCTGGGTCGAAAACAAAGATGTGTGAAATTCTTCTGGAGCAACGTAATTGCTAGATCGTTATTCTTCTTGTTCGCTTCCCGCCCACTCTACTCAAGCATTACTCTTTCTTAAAAAAAAATAAAAAATATCCGTAACAAAGTCCTCCGCTACAAGGTAAAGGATGCTCTGGACAAACTTCGCATTTTTTGTGAGTCAAGCGGCCGAAGCAACCACCGATCCGCCATGTTTGTTTACCAAAGGTAATCGAATTTCACCGCTGAAAAGGTGATCACTGTAATAACAGCTTTTACTTTACGCGATCGTACGCTGTAACATGGTGGTTCTCAGCAAAACTTTCGAAGCTGCAACTGATCGGAGCAATCAGCATATTTCCCATATGGTCGAGATATCACTTATCCAGAACTAACTCTTTTTTGAGACACTGAAGCACTATCTTCATCAAAAGATGGCTGTACTTGACAGCGTAAATCATTCGAGGGTGGCTGTTCTGGTATTTGAATCGCTTGAAAAGTGTTTAAAAAAAAGATGAATTTGAAAGATACCAAAGTAATCCAACACTTGGCTGTTTTCAAAACCGTAATAACGTCATTATGAATTCGTGATAATCGTTCAAAAGAAATAATCTTCAGTCAAGCGTTTGTTAAACATCACGATGGAGACTTTAAAATAAAATGAAACTGACTAAGCTGACAATTTCTCTAAGTTTTGCTAAATGTAAATTAGTTGTTCACTATTCCTGGCTTATTCCAGTTTCCTGCAAGAAATGCAGACTGGAAAAAGCTGTCAATTTCTAGCAGCAGCGAATACGTGCATTGAATTCCAGCTATTTCCAGGTTTTGAAAGAACTTAGAACTTGGAAACACTGGAAAAATATTTTCTAGAAAAAAGCTAGAATAGGATTCTGGAATAAAGCTGTCATATTCTAGAAACTTCTAGAAAGCTCCAGAAATTAACAGAAAGCT